GTTTTATTTCTTATCGTTAAAGTTAGGTCGAGAAGAACAATACAGTTATAAATTTTCGTTTTTCTTCTTTTTGTAAACGAACAAACATATGAATTGAAGAGAATTAATATTTTTTAATAGCTACAATGTCACACCGAACAACGAAAAAAAAAAGTTCAACAACAAATCGAAGCCGTCAACGACGACCCCAATCAGGTATATGATAAAAAGCTCAATACAATATTGTTTTTAAATAGAATTTATTTATTTATTTAGCAAGTAATCTGATACAATATAGTCATGTTATTAATTTAAATTCTGATCGATGGCTTTTACCAGAAACGCAAGAATATTTAAAAATAAATAATAATAATAATAATAAAGAAAAAGCAATATCTGATACAGAAGATCAACATGATGTAGAAAGTAAACTTAATTAAGAATTTATCAAACAAATAAGAATTTTACTTTTTTGTTTTTTCGGTAGTTGTTACAACTAAAACAAAAACAATCCGGTAAATTTTATATTGAAATTTTTTTGATATTTTATTTTTCTCTTTCACAGAACTCCTTATAATGAAGTTAAATCATATCTGAAAAAAAATAGTTTAGTTTCAAAAGGTTTAACAATCTTCGATGTACTTTATCCAACATCAATAACAGTAAAAGATCCACATCATATTCAAGTGATAGATCGTTATGTTCTTGCTAAAGTTTGGGATGATGTAAGTTATATATAAATTAATTAAATTTAGTCTCACAATATATATATATATATTATTTTATATTAGATATTACCATTAACATATGGATCATATGTTGGTAAATTACGTTTAGTGAATCATTATGCTGTGGATTTAGAAAAATATGAAGTTAAATTGAAAGAACTTCTTACTAATTATTATCAGTAAGATATCTGAATAAATAATTAAATTAGTTAAATTATTTGTTTATATGTAGATTTACTTCAAACTTTATTTGGAAACATTTAAATGACGACGACAAACGAAAGTGAGTAATCTACTCAGCATTCTAATATAAGAATAGTTTAAAAACGATAGATCTATTTTGTGAAACTGACATATTATCTTCGAAAATATTTAATATAAATTTAAAGTGAGAATTTTTCTGACTCTCTCTCTCTCTTTCATAGGCCCTAGCAACCGGAGAGTAGCAGAGGCCAACAATTGTTATTTACGTTTCCATAGCAACCAAAAACAACAGTTGCTAGATTCCTTTTTCATTGTTCATTATCAAGGAAAAAATAGGTGCTGAACGATTAATAAAAAGGCTTAGACTATTCGAGAACATTACAAAGCTTTCTTTGAAATTTTAAACAGTTGCAACGACAGTCATCATATAATCAAGATAAAAAAGGTTAACTGTTCATGTTACTACTTTGTGAAATAATCGATATCAGTATTTGTAAGTTTATTAAGATAAATAATAGACCTGCTATAGATATAATGAATATGTACAACAGGCTTATTTCACAGTTAAATCAATGGTTATAAAAATAATGATAATAATGTTAATTTTGAGTACCATATTTTAGCTCCAAAGAGGCTGTGCTGAGATGTTTATTTAAATGAAATCGATCATCTTTATTTGTTCGTAAATTACTTAAGAAAAAAATACAATCAGTTCATTTTTCTCAAATTCAAACATAAGATTCATATTCAGCGTAAGACTATCTCGACCCTTTTCTCGATTGAAAAGAAGCTCTCTCTTTTCCCCTTGTACGCCACGAATAATTGAGTTCAAATTCATGCGTAGCAAAATTTTTACAAAATAAACATCAGTAGAAAAAAGCGTTTTCTACTAGTATGTTATTGCTATCGATATGTTGACTCTCTTACGTCTTAAAAACAACTTACTTCAAAGAAAACACACAGAATTAACTCTAATTGCTATAGCAAAAAACTTCGATTTGAAAAAAAAAACATTAATATATATAGGGAGAATGCTTGAGATCTTCTTATTCTTGTACACTCAGAATCTATGGGTATGAAGCAATAGACAATTGTGACTCCATGACAACTTTTATTCAGTTCATCGAGATCTACCTTATAATGATCAGTTATTTTTGTACTTTTATTTAAAAATGATGATGAACATTGATTTCTTTCTAGACTTGGTCCATATCTTCACTGGCATAGTTTATCAAAAGACGAACAAAATAAGTAAATTAATAATCAACCAAAATTTCTTTTCCACAAAAGTTTTCATTTTAGAATCACTAAAGAGATAAGTACAGAAGAATATACCAGTCAAAGGTAGTCTAACCTCAGATAGATCTTCTTAAATTGAATATATATATTTTTTGTTTTATCTAATTTTAGTGCATTAGAAAATTTTGCTTGGATAAAGTTGACCGAAACAGAACAGAATGAGTAAAAATGTTCTTGTTTTCTTTCCTCATTTATTTTTCTATATAAATTTTTTCTTATGAAAATAGTCTATTACAAAAACCTGTAGTTTATGAAGATAAAAATCAAACTTTGTTGAAGAATGCATTAAAAGAAGCTGAAGCTGAATCAGCATTAAAAGGTATTGCTCGTATGGATGTCGAAATTCATCGTGCTACTAAATTCTTACAAATATCAACTGATTTACGTCAATTACAAAAACGTGCTGATGTAAGCTTTGTTTTTTTTTTTTCTATTTTTTTATAAATTAAATCATAAATGTCAAATAGTTGGATTCCAAACCAAAAGAAGAACAAAAACCAAAACTTAAAAGAAAACCATCATCAGAACGAAATTTTCATCAACGTGTTATTTGTCGTTTTGATGCTGATGGATTCTTTCATCCTGGTAGTAAAAAAAAATCTTTTTTTATATTATCTATTCAAAAAGTTTGTAAAATAGGAACTATACAAAAAGGTGAAGATGGTGAAACAATGGTTCATTTTGACATGGGTATAGAACAAGTAGCAATTGGCCATATTCTATTACCAACAAACGGTGCCATTGCTCAACCAAATTTATTTGTAGATGATTGTGTTCTTGTTCGTCAGAAGAATAGAAATGAAGAGTTTTGGGTACCTGGTATTGTAATGGTTCTTCCATCACCAGTTGCTCAACCACCTCCTTTATATATGGTACAAATATATACTCCAACTGCATGTCGAGTATGAATATTAGTTAATAGAGATACATATTAAAATATTTCTCTTTAGGTTAATGTCTATCGTCGTGATATACTTAAAATAAGTTTAAGTCTTTTTCAACGAACTCTTTCATATCTTCAAATTCTCAAGTAAGTTATTTCATTCATTTATATCTAATAAATCATAATATTTAGTCATAAACGTGGACCAAGTGTTGGAAATACTAATGAATTACAAGAAAATTCTTGTTTACAAGGTATTTTTTTTGTGTAATTCAATCAATATCTCTTTTCTAATTAATTTAATGTCTAGATGCTCTTCATAAGCAACTTGGACCAATAAAAACAAAAGTTGAACATCTTCATGAGTCGCATAAGAAACATTACAATGAACTTAAAACAGTAGAAAATAAATTTAAAAAAAAACAAACAAACCAATGAATTATTTTATTTTCTTCTAGAAACTTGAAGATCAAATGGATGTAATTAGAAATTTACAAGAAAGAACACCGAAAAGAGAAGTTAGATTTGAATCGACTCAAACAGCTCAAATATCATTAAAACCAATAGTAAATGAACAATACTCGCCAGATGTACCCCGACCACCCAGTCCGAAGCCACCAACACCACCAATAGATTTTATTAAACCAAATACACATGTCTATGCTCTATGGTTGAATGATGATAGACTTGTTCATGAGGTTTGTTAAAAATTTAATTGATTTTTAAATAATATACTGCAAGACTTACATTTATTACCTAAGTAAAGAAAAATAATCTCTTTATAATTGAATATTTCAGTATAGACCACTAGGATCAATAATATTCCAAAGAGATTAATGTGCTTGAGTACTCATAATGCGTCTAATAAACTCATCTATTTTGTTTCTAGGGTATTGTATTAAGAAAGCAAGAGGATTCAAATAATTATATTGTCCAACGATCTAGTTTGCCTGATATTGAAACCATTATTTTACGTGAAAACATATTTCTAGAATCAGAGCTTAAACGTGTAAAAACTTTACCTGTAAGTTGACCAATATGTATCTATAAGAGAAGCATAGACATGTGTATTTTCCTTTTCTAAATATAGGCTAAATCATGCATTCTTGTTGAATATCGAGAACATCTTCCCGATTGTTGGAAACCTGCTGTAATTCTTCCTTCTGATAATGAAAAAGAGACAAGACAAGTTCGTTTTTATGATTGTATGATTAAAGATATATCAAATAATGAAATGGTAATACCAATTAGTGAAAAAACTTTTGAAAATTATACAAAACATCGCATTGAATACGAAAAAGCCCTCATTGACCATGTTATTGTTGGTTTAAATAGTCCAGAAAAGATATTTATGTTAGGTACAATAATTAAACGTGTTGGATATGGTCATACATATATTATTCAATGGTGTGATGAAAAAAAAAGTGAACAAGAAGAAGAATATTTATTTGGAGCATTTACTACACCTATTCAATGTCAACCAAATGATTATGTTTTAGCTATGGATAATGATCAGTATATTTATAAATTAGCACTAGTTATAACTAAATCTAATGATCAAAAAACATTAACTGTTCGTTTTATTGATCCCAAAGAAAATAATAGGTAGAAATTGATTTTTCAATCACTATGAAATTAAATTTTTTAATTTTATTTTAGAGAAATTGATGTACCATCGACTACTACATTTGTAATCACTAAACCACATTATAACTCGATTATGAACAAACTCAATGCTTGATTTCATGTTTTTCTTTTTCTATATTTTTCTTCTTTCTCCTCAGATAAATCACCTGTCGATTCTTAAATATGACTTTGTGTAATCTTCTTTTTTTCATGATTTTCTTTTTTTATTTACAAAAAAAAAAGAGAAAGAAGAACATTAAATAATATTTTTTTTGTTCTAGTTACACATACCATTCTTTCGAATCAATTATATTTTCTTCATTTGTTGTTAATAAGTTTTGTCGATGATGATTTGATAATAAGATTTTACCAGTACAACCACTAGCATCAGTATTATCCAAATGAGATTTTGTAGTAAAATTTTTACTTTCATCAATTTTATATGAACCTTTATCACGATTACAACAATATTTAAATATTATATAAATAATAATCATACTAATAATTCCAGCAATTATACATCCAATAAGTAGTATAATATTTAATGTTTTACTTTCTTGTTGTGTTGTTAGTAATGATGTATGTGATAGACTCATATTAGAAAATGAACTTGTTGTTAAAGAATTAATTGTTGTCGATATCATATTATCATTATGATCGATATGGATAAGATTTTTATCTGATGATGATGATGATGATGACATTAATGGGATAATATTACTGCTAGTAGGTGATAATTGATCAATAGTAGAAAGAACAGCATTCGAATAATGAAAGGGTAAAGATTTTTTCTTGTCTAGAATTTCACTAGAAGGAAACCGTGGCGAAGAATGAAGAATAGAAAAACCGTTTGATGAGTAATAAGTACTTTGTTGATGTTCACAATAAGATAGATCTAATAATGGTAAAAAAGAAGAGGAAGAAGACAAGGTCGATGATGACTGACTGGCAAAGTAAAAATAATAATGACGTGTATTTTGTATTGAAACTAAAAAAATGTAAATTAGAATTATGTTTTTTGCTTCTTCTAGAAGAATATATTTATATAAACAAAAATGGATCAGAATCAAATGAATAGTTCTTGTTATCGTTATAGAAAATGTGAACTGACAGAAATACACAGCGTAAGAATGATAATGATGATGTCAATTGGATAGACCGATAAAAAGACACTATAAGAGGAAAAGACTCATCTTTTTTTTTTTATTTGTGCATGCCAACGAATGACGACTCTCTACTAATTCACTACGATGATAAGAACAAAAAGATACTGGTGCAGAAGAATTATAATAATTTTTTTATGATGTGAACAAGAAAAAAACAGAAAGACACGCATATAAAAAAAAAACACCACAGGCAAGCATTATTGGAAGAAAAAATAGAATGTCATCGCATCATTCAGCGAGTCAAACAAGAAAAAAAACTCATTCATATATACATAGGCTATGTTGTTGTCCAACTTCCCGTTAATAAATGCTCGAGGATAGAACAGAAATAGAAAGAGAAAATTAAACTAACAATAACAAAAAGAAACTAATCGAAGTGATTTTTAACTTTTAGCTGTATATTTTTCTCATAAATAGGAAACCTATATATGAAAAAGTCTGTACAATTTAGTTGAGACATAGAATTTTTACTGAGATTTATCAACAAGATTCTTCTTTTTTAGCAAAACAATATTTTCAAAGTTTAATCTAAAATTTTGCTCACATCAATGCTCTAACTTAAATAGTTTGTACAAAAAGAAACAAGACTTTTTGTTACGTTGCATGATTAATATTAAATTTTTTTCAAACTATTCATATTTCATACAATATCTTATAACAAACACATTTATTTTCAAAAAAATCGAAACCTCTATGATACTAAGTCGGAAAAAGAAATCAAATCTGAAAATTCTTTATACAAGTTAGTTCTTGTATTTCAGTCAAACCACAACTTGCGTTCATATCCTCTTAACATTTTTCTAATCTGCACGTCTTCTACTTATCGAGGAAAATGTTAAGGATAAAAACTTTGAATTACTTCAAGCTGTTCCTTTGTATGTCAATAGTTTTATATATAACAAAGTTATTTCATGGCTATGATTTTAATCAAAATCGAACTTATTGATTAGATTGAATAAAAATATCTAATCATCTATTTATATATATATATATATATATGTATACAAAAAAGAAAGAAACAGTAATAATATAATAAAATTAGACATGTATATACGAAAAAAATAAGTAATATAATAATTATCTTATTCGAATAAGAATAGAACATTTTCTTACTTGATTCAAAAACATTTTTATTTGCTTGACATGAAGCAATTATTATAACACGATTTATTGAAGCGTTTTCTGTTATAGGTGTAGCTATAATACCATCAAATGACATAATAATAATGATAAAATAGATAAAAATCATCTTAATAAAATTTCGTTAATAAGCTTTATTTATTAACATAAACTTCAATCGACTAGATATTTGAATCAATTGATGTTCTTTTTTTTGATCGATGACGATTCACTTTGTTTCGTTAATAATGAATAGTGATGTCTTCTTTTTTTCTTCTCTCTCTCTCTTTTTCTCGTATTTGCAATTCTATATTCCGATCAATGATGATTCCGATTATGCAAATAGACAACGAACGAAGAGTGTTCTTAATTGAAATCTGTTCGCTAAGATCAGATTTCATCATCACTTTCTCTTTGTCGATAGTCTACAGTAATAAAAAAAAGACATGTCTGCAAATGAAAAAAAAAAAAAAAGAGAACGATGCTTTTTCTCTTATGTTTACTTGACCCGAACTTATATGTGTCAATAGTTCACATAGAAAAAATAAATGGTCAGTTGTATTCATTAGAACTTATTTGCATTTTAAGATGAGAGAAAGAAAAAATTATCTTCATTTATTTGTGCAAATTGATTTATAGTTACTGACTTTTTCTATGATGTGTAACTGATCATTGATATGCACTTTATTACCCGCATATGCACGTGAATGAAAATAACCAGATAAGAGAGAAAAAGAAAACGGATCAATGTTCTTAATGTTTTGTTGTGGAAAATAGTATATTACAAATTTTCTCTAATGTTTCAAATCATAATCTATAAGTTTAACAATGAAACTCCACAGATACGTCATACAAGAATTAGTGGAATTTATCATGAAAACATTGTTTATATTGAGACTTTCGTATTTCTTAGGTATACTTGTTTTGTTCTACTTTAAATGCTGTCATTTTAAAAACTTTTAAAGCTTTTATATTAGTAAAAAAAACCCATATTACAATAATCACACCTGTATTATCGCGTTTATTTTGAATTTTATGTCAAAGTGATATGCAAGAGTGATTCATCCTGAGTAGACAAGCAAAGAAACAAAACAACGATTATTAACGCGTCTACAAGCATTATTACATTCGATGCTTGATATTTTTTTTTTATCTTGTTTCATACTAGTAAACTACGTTATGAGAATAATTTCTATTGCATATAAACGCTAGATACGGATGATTAGTTTTTATGAATATAAAAAAAACAAACAAAGGCTATTTGGTGTTATTCTCCATGTAAAGAAAAAAAAATAAGTTGGATTGAAATCGTAATAAAAAATGGATACCAGTAGCAAAAAAAAAATAAATCAACGTTATTTATTTAGTATCAGTGATGAACCAAAACAATTATTAGAACCTATATCAGGTTAT